ATCTACCAGCCTCCTTAGCAAAGTACAGTCTTGATTATTCTGTTGTGAAGAAAGTCATGATGCTAACACAAGAAAGACTGTAGACTATATCTTTAATACAATAATAATTAATAATCATGTGCTGTCGAGTCAATTCTGACTTATGGCAACCTCTTTTCAGGGTTTTCCAGGCAGACAGTACTCAGAAGTGGCTTACCATGCCCTTCTTCTGGGGTTGCCCTGGGACTGTGCAGCTTGCTCAAGCTCCACAGGCTGGCTTTTCTGGGAGGCATGGCAGGGGATTGAACTCCCAGCCTCTGGCTCTGCAGCCAGATAACTAACTCACTGAGCTATCCAGACAGCTCCTTTAACACGATTCTGGGGGAATATATATCTCTCCAAATGTCATTGGACTGAGACCCAGCCAGCATAGCCAATGGTGAGTGACACGGGAGATGCAGGTCAATGATGTCTGGAGGGCTAAAAGTTGTGAGTCCCTGATGGATTGGGCAAAACCAACATGCTGTTTAAGAACACAAGAGCCAAGAGCAAATACAACAAAAATAACTACGTACATTGTATTTAGGACATAGCCCAATATCTTTTTTTTTAACTGCTCAACTCCTAACCTCTCCTTCTATCTTTGGCACAATGTTTACTTTCCTTTTTTTTTGTCAAAACAAATTAGAAAACTGTTCTCATCTGCAAAACATCTGTCCTCGTTTTACTCTCCACTTTCATTCTTTGCCAAAACGTGTGTAATGCATTGCTCCCAAATTCTCCCTCTGTCCCCAAACTGGCCCCTTTTCAAAGCAAAAAGCAAATTTATGCTTGAGAACCCAAATGTCCTCCAACATCCACTGTCTTCCTTTGATGGTCACGGTATTGTATTAGCCTTCTCCTCACTGTTTGGCCATCGGGACGTGTTGGGCTGAAGCTTGTACCCTATTCAGCTCGCATGGGAGTCATACAGAACTGGACGGCACTGGGTTGCAAAAGGCTGTACAGCACCATCATTATGTACCCCACCTTCTTCTAAAACAAATGGCAGTGATTCCAATTAAACTTGTGAGCCTTGCGCATGGCGTGCAAGGTGATGGGCAGAACTCAGGGGAGAGCTGTCATGTACCACTGTCAGACGCTGCAGGGACCCACCTGCTATTACAAGACAGCAGCCGAGGCATGTTTCCCAGAGATCAAACAGGGTCTCGCAGAACAAACGAGGCCATTTAACATTCCAGTGTCTGGCTGTACACGTCTGCATCTCAGCGACAGACTTTAACTCTCTGATTCCCTCCACCATCGTTCACTGTGGCACAGGGCCTTTTCAGCTGAAGTTAGTCGTGTGCAAGGAAGAAGTTGCTGTTATCGTTGTGTTAGAGAAAATCCATATGATCTCACCCCTCTCACACCAAGACAAGATTTAGGGCTGCCTTGAGATATTATTGTCCTTTGAGGCTGGCCTACACTTTATAAAAAGTATATTCTCTGAAACTTTTGAGGATTTAAGGCACACTTACAGGATTATGCACTACTTCATTGACAACACAGAAAAATGACACCTACTCTGTTCTATTGCTTGGTTTATTTGTTTTGTCATATTGTTAGCACATAAAGTTCATAAGGCAAGAGGCATGTAAATCCCAAAATTTGTCATATTTTATTTCCAAGGCCCACAATCAATGGCATTTAGCTAGATACCTAACCAAATTTGGAGACTTCCATATTTCTACCCACCTCTCCCTTTGACTGCCTAGCTCTGTGAAGAATTCTGGCGCACCTGAAAACTCTGCATCTATTGTGGCATTAAAGCTGGTCGTAATACAGGTATTGCCTATCTGAGGATTTTGTATTTTGTTTTGGTTATCCGTAAGGATAAGGGAGATAGACATACACACAGAGGCAAGAAATGTGAAATAAACCAAGAAAAAAACTGAACATTTTAAAACAAAAGAAGTTTATTGAAAAGAAAAAAAACAGAGCAGCAAGATAGAAATACTATAAAACAAACACCAAAAAATCAGCACATTAAACTCTGACTTCACTAGGGATACGAAACACTACGTCAGCGCAAAGTTCTGAAAGTTACAAAGACACATGAGAAAGTTGCTGTTGGGAAGTACATATTATTACCCTGGGGTGTGGAGAAGAAATGAAGATGGGGAGGAGAAAAGCAAAATATTGTACGCACTTTAAAAAGTAATATTTGTATTTCAGCATGAGCTTTCATGGATCAAAATCCACTTCCTCAGACTGTGGACGTCTTTCAAGTGCTACAATTCTCTCTCCCGTTCCTCCCACTCCCTTTTCATTTGCCAACATGCTGAGATAGAATAATACAGTTAATTAAAATACAGATTATATGAATGCAAGAAAAAATACTCAAATGCAAGAAAATAGTCTGAAGAGCACATATATTTACTAGGTTACTATTAATAAACATACACACAACTAGGTACAATATAACTTGAAAAATACCTCCTAAAGGTGAAGACGAGGCAAGATAATGGCTGTGATGAAAGGCACAGCAAATCGTTTGTGCCACCGAGCATTGTTTGCACTGCTAGTGGCAAGAAAAGATTCACCTGTGGGATTTCTGCCTTTTCTGCTGTTTCGAAAAAGACAGGAGCCCTGTTCCCACAAACTTAGAAACCCTAGACCTCTTGGTTTATTATAGACTGCCCTGAGAGTGTCTGATAGAGAAAAGCAATCAAAATATTTAATAAATAACTATCATTGTAATGTGACTCTAATCCAGAAAGTGAGGACTATGGTATCACCGCAGTCCAACTCGCACGTGCATCAGACCTAAGAGGATTGGCTTTGCCATGGGACCTCATTATAAGCAGAATATATTATACAAATTGTAAAGATGACATAGATTGCCATTTGCTGGTGCTATTTGATCTAAGAAATTAATTATATGCCTTTGATCTATTTTTCTCTCTCAATTGGATGGTGGTGAGCGCTATAAGACGTCAGCAGAAGTATTAAGCAGCTTATTCCAGGCAGTGGGAGACATCAGAGCAGAGCTTAACTGTGTGTCTCCCACTCTTTTGTTCAAGTGTGGCAGTCTTGGACAAGGATTTGGCTTCCAGAGAATCTCTGATATCATTTGAAAATTACCAAGTTTCTAGCTCTTATGGATGTGCACATACCCTTGGAAGCATATGAATGATCCATCCTGAAATTACAAAAATCCAGAGGAGGCAGCTGATCAAGCTCCCGTCACATGGTGGAATGCTTCTGAGTGCTATGTAAATCTTTGCCTCCCTTCAGTGTAGAGGAATCAGAGTAAAATGATATTTTATATGCTCATTTGTGTGATGTAGGTGTGATCACATGGGGGGAAATAGGTTGTGATTTGGACCACTTGTGAAGCAGTCAGTTGCAATCCGTTTCCTAGTGATCGCACAACATACAGGGAAATGTGCTCCAGCCAAAATGCAATCTGTAGGGCTGATACCTTTTGGTGCAAGGCTTGGAGCACTTCTCCGGCAGACAGAAGGGTCACTTTAAGGGAGATGGCTCCTTTAAAAGTACTAATCTTCCAGTGCGATCAAGTACCTGCCTTTACAGCCCTCTGATTACACCCTTTAAACTGATTTGGATATTAAGGCAATTCCTCTCCCCTTCTCACTCTTTTACATATAATATTAAAATTGTTAATAATAAAATAATTAATTAAAATAATATTTAACACAGACACCACATTTCAAGAAGAATGCTGGCAAATTGGACCAAGTTCAGAGGAGGGCAACAAGGATGATCAACAACCCTGGAAACCAAGCCCTATAAGGAAAGATCAAAAGAACTGGGCATGGTTAGCCTCGAGAAAAGACGACTGAGAGGAGATAATGATAGCACTGTTCAAACACTTGAAAGGCAGTCATACAGAGGAGGGGCAGGATCTGTTCTCTATCATCCTCGAGTGCAGGACATACAACAATGGGTTCAAGTGACAGGAAGCCAGATTTTGGTTGAATATCAGAAAAAAAACTTCCCAACTGTTAGAGAAGTACAAGAATGGAACCAATTACCTTGAGAGGTGATGAGTGCTGCAGCACTGGATGAAATTTAGACAACCACCTGACAGACTTCCTTTGATTTGTATTCCTGCGTTGAGCAGGGGGTTGGACTCAATGGCCGTATAGGCCCCCTCCAACTTCATTATTCTATGATTCTATCTATGATAGAGCAATAAGCATATTGCACTACCTATATTTTGGTTTTGGCTGTTCTTTATCTTTTGCACCATCATCCCCTACTCACCGTAACATATTTGGCTATAGACCTGGAGGAAGAGTTGGATAGGACCCAAAATGGTGCCTCAGCTCAGCCATTCAGCTGTGCATCACCAAGGGTTGAGCAATCAAGTGATATAAAGAAGTCACCCCTTTGCTCCTCTGGTCTCACCAAGACAACCCCATCGCCTGTAATGTTCAGGTTGTTGCATGAAGAATCCTACTTACAGAAGATGGGGCAGCCTTTATGACCCCTGCCTTTCTTGGATATATCTGCCCTTACTGCCCCTATTTCCTGTGCTCCTCATGCACCTCCTTTATCGGTCCTCTAGTCCTATTCACACGCTGCAGTCTTATCCACAGTTCTCTCAAAACTCAGTCCCAAGGACCTCAATGGAATTACTTCTGAGCACGCATGCACAGGAACTCAAGCTTTGTAAATACAACATAACAGCAGGTCACAAAGAAAGGTAAAAAGTAGGCATGGAAGAACAGCAGGAGGAAATGTTCCAAACTCCTCATTTCCACATTCAGAAATAACATTCAATAATGTATGGAGAGTTTCTGGGTTTCAGTCAGACAACTCCATGATTGCTATTGCTTCTCTGATTCCATGGAGCTTAGAAATTTGGTTGTCACTTTTTAAAAAGGGAACTATCCTCTGAAGGACAATCACTGCAGACCCTGTCCTGTGGAATCTCACCCGTGTTGCCCTCAAACAATGCCCCCCAAATCTTCATGTGTTGCTGTTGACCAGCACCTCAGAACACAAGAGGGTTAACACTCCTTGGATGGAGTGGTGACGGTTGTGGTTTCTGGAGCCGCCGTTCCTCCCTCTATGTCAAGACCGGCCGTAGAGCTTTTTTTGTCAGAACCAGCGCCACATATGGTTTGTTTGGACACAGCTAATCCAACTCGGTCATGATCTCGGTCAAACACAGAGTAATACTGCCGAAGGAAAACGTCGCCCAGGATCCAGAGTGGGCCTACAGGCTTAGGGATGTCAAGACTCATGAATCCGCTGATGCAAGCTGATGTTCCTGCTTGGGTGATCTGTGGAAATGGAGGGAAACAACACAGCTCAGTGGCAGAGTAGCAGGGAAGACTGAAGTGCCTCAAGAGTAAAAACACTGAGGTTCCTTCACTTGACTACCCATTCTGAGACATGGCCCTACTGCTAAACAGACTGAGTTTGAGTCTGATGTTGGGAAGCTTAAACAAATAACAATTTCCAAGCTTAGAGGGAAAGATGTCATCAAAGAGGAATCTGTTTTCAGCAGCAGAACTGAGGGCGACTCAAGATTGGCTTTCCATCTGCTGAACCTACATTTTCATAAACTAAGAACATTTCCGATCTATTCCCTTCATAAGGAAACTAACCCAGTATCTCTTGCTCTGGAATTTGCCAGTGGTGCCCTCAGGCCAGGAAGATGGAGAAAACAATTATGGATTCCCTCAGCAGAATTATCGTGCCTCTTCAAAGCAGCAGGGGCCCTCAAACCGCATGTTAAAGGAAGTGAAGTTACACACATTACCATCTCAAGAGCCTCTCCCCTAAGACCGTCATGTTCAGAGTCTAAAATTACCCAAGGGTTCCTCTGGAGCGCACTATTACTTAGGGAAGATGAGAGAATAAAACAGAATTTTCCAGCCCTCATTAATCTTACACCTGCATCTGAGTCTCCTTTGAGCACAAACCTGGTTAAGTCTCACATCTATGGCAAAAGCAAAACAACATATGACCCACAACGATGCTCTGGAAGATAGATGTTAAAGCAGTTGCCATACTCTTGCAAGTATTTTACTGGCATCTCTTACCTGGAGCGTGTATTGTTCTGGAGTCAGGGTGTAGGGTTTGCCAGCAAGATGAAAGGTCACATTTGGTAACTCAGACAGCTTATCGCATTCCAGCAAGTACTGTGGGAAGAAAAAGCAATCGGTTTTCAAGAGGAAGAGAAAGAAAAAGAAGTCTGAAACTACCCCCCACTACATCTGCTTGTGCATTCACCAAAAACTCATTTCTACCATGTTCAGACTGCTGGAACGACATATTGTGGATACAGAGCTGCTTCTAAAAATGGCATTCTTGTGTCTACTGGTCTCTCCTGCCTATATAATGGCAACATTCTAGCAAAATATAACAGATGATGCCTTAATCCAGTGGTTTCCAACCTTGGGTCTACAGATGTTCTTGGACTACAACCCCCAGAAATCCTGGCCAGCACAGGTGAAGGTTGGGAACCACTGTCCTAATCCCTTGACTCCTCCCTGTGGGCAGCAACCACTGATATCAAGTGAAGGAGAAAACCTTGAAGGATAATGAGGCTATACTACTGTGCATGTGTCTCATAAGTGCCAAGGCAAATGGCAGGTTCATCCTCATTGCAAGAGTGTCCTCTAATGGCAGCATGTAAAGGAATATATATATTAATTTAATGCAATAAAAAATCATGCACCTGGGGATACCACTGGAGGGGTAAGAAAGTTACTCCTCGCTCTTGATGACTCTAGCTATTCAGAACAGAAACAATTCCAATTTGCACAGCTCTACCCTTTTTGTTTAAGTCTCAGCCAATCACATCAGAATATCACCCTGGCACAGACAGGTCAACAACAGAGAAAGAAACCAAGCCAACGAGACCAGATGAGAACTAAGGCATGGATAACTGGAAGGGGAAAGTGTGTATTTCTAGATGGATCTGCAAAGGATCTAGCTCAGTGGTTCCCAACCTTGGGTCCCCAGATGCTCTTGGACTACAACTCCCAGAAATCCTGACCAGGACAGCTAATAGTGAAGGCTTCTGGGAGTTTTAGTCCAAGAATATCTGGGGTCTCCAGGTTGAGAGTGACTGATTGAGGACAAGCTTTTCCTTACCTGCCCTCCAAAGGCATGGGCAGCCCCCATGGCTTCATGCAGAGCTCGAATATCATAACTTGGCCCCGTGATCAGAGAGGTGCCAGTGTCCACAATGCCTTGGCAACCATCCTTGCACAGATGGATCTCATTCTTGTCAAATATGTTCCATGGCCAACATTTTTCTTCCGTGGATTGTTTCTTCACACTTATCCTATGAAGAGAGTTTGGGCAAGAGAAGGGATTAGCAAGTCATTTCTGCTTCTGACGGGAAGTGGGAAGAAAAGGTGACCCATGACGACTAGTTAGGCCATCAGAGCTATACTTGTAGCCAGAAGAGGTTGAGATTGTCCAACTCAATAACACTAAGATCTAGTTTTCCTATAAACACAGAAGAGCTAGTGCTCTTTGCCTCGTGTGGAGTGTTGACCAAAAAACTGCTTACAGCTGCAGTTTCGATTAGCACTTCACACAAAGGCCAATAATTATTTTAAAAAAATTAATCTGAGTGATGCAGCTTGTCAGCGATGATTTACAGAGACACACACACACACCCAGGAAAACATTTCACTTCCCCATCTCTTCCGTGGTGTTCAATTTGCCAATATCCTGAAGTGATTAAACTGCAGCGCTGCAGTGAAGACAATTGCGATGAGTTCCTGGACTCAAGTAGCCAGTTCGAGATTGACTCAGCCTTCCATCCTTTCACGGTTGGTACCTTGAATATCCAGCTCACTGGGGAGTGGAGGGAGGCAATGTGTGGCCTGCATAATTAAACATCTTGAATATCCAGCTCACTGGAGAGTGGAGGGGAGGCAATGTGTGGCCTGCATAATTAAATTGCAAACCACCCAGAGAGTGCTTTAGGTCCTATGGGATGGTACATAAAAGCAAAGCAAAAAAGCAAAGCATGCTGCTTATATACCGTCCTAGTGCTTCAAGCACTCTCTGGGCAGTTTACAAGTTAATTAGGCAGGCTACACATTGCCCCCTAGTGAGCTGGGTACTCATTTTAATGACCTCGGAAGGATGGAAGGCTGAGTCAACCTTGAGCCGGCTACCTGGGATTGAAAGCCAGGTTGTGAGCACAGTTTTGGCTGCAGTACAAATCTCTAGAATTTGTCACATGTGCTTTTCTTTAAAAAATTCTGCTATTCTCTATTTTTTTCCCTGCTCTTTTCTATTTTTTTCCTGCTCTTAATATAAACCTTTGATATAACTGGGTGTAAGTTCTTCATGGCCAAGTCTCATTGACTCCTCTTGACTCCATTTATTTAAACACATTTGCTCTAAGTATGAGTAAATCTGGATCCAAAGCAATACCACAACAATGTATATAACAGAATGTTGTTCACTCATGCCTCAAACTCCACTGGTTACAGCTAGAGCTAAATGTGCGCAGATTTAGGCTGCAATTCTCCACATGTTGAGCTAGGAGCAAGCCCACTGAACTCAGTGGGACTTCCTTCTGCATACACATGCACGAGGCTGTGATGCTAGAGAATCTGGCAGCAGTCATTTTCCTCCATAAAATTTTGCCTTTTTCCTTTAGACACTAAAACATTTCATCTCTGATTTCACCGTCTTGACCACCATATTGAGTCGGAGGGGTAATCTTACTTACGTCATTATTTCCATACAGACTAATTGAAATGTAATACATTTTTCACTTTCAGTACATTAACTTGCATGAATGCAAGCTCAAACTGGCATATCAAACTCTCAAGGAACTACTGTATCATTTCTGACATGTATACTACTGAAGAAGACTGTGAGGTTGAAATATTTTAGGCAATTATAGCGATTATTCATCATTCTTCTTGACGGTTTAAATTGTTATTCTCTGTGTCTACACCCAGACATGACCAGTTAATGTGTTTTGTTCGCAATATATATTCAAGATATCAATGATTTAAGCAATTTGCATATTTCGGCTTCTCGCATTGGTAAGTACTTCAGAATTGATTTAAATTAACATTTACTCACCAGCATGCGTGCACTTGGTCTGAATGCAATTCTTGGTCCCAACTAGAGTAAACTTGCTGAATTGGTGGCTCTTACATAAGTGTTGATTTACACACCAGCATGTGTGCTCTTGGTCTGAATGCAATTCTTGGTGGCTCTTACATAAGTGTTGATTTACCAAGTCCCCATTGGATCAATGGGTCTATTCTAGTAGGGACTAACAAATGGATTTAGGCCTTTGTTTTTCCCATCCTCTCCAATTCACAATGTTCCCAACTGTTGGTTGGTTAGTGATTGCCTTTCTATCTGCTTCTCAGACTAGGCTTAAAGCCTTTATTCTTGCATGATGAGCTGCAGGTAAGAGCCCATGAACCACTTACTTGTCCATCTTGATCTGCCAGTAGGCCTTGCGTGACACCGGGATGTAGTGAAGCTCCCCCTCATAGGCATCATGGTTGATTCCTCCAAAAAGAACTTCACCACCTTTGTCTTCTGACATATCTTTAGCGCTAGGAGAAGAATTATAAGGATCAGTAAGTCACCCTGAGGCATGAAATTTGTATGAATCCACAAGCAGGAAAAGGGGAAAGATGATCAGATATAAAAGATGGACAAGGGTGTTCCTCTGTCTTTAACACAGTAATGCTAGCTTTCTTGCCTGTAGGTAGATTTGGCCCACCAGAAAGTTCTGTGCTTTTTGGGAAAACTTTTCTGGAGACCCTACCTCAACAACAGATCTTTCACCCTCCAAACTTTCTGCAATGTTCCTTTTTAATGTAACACAATATTTATTGTTTTTTAAAACATGTTGATCATTATTTGAAGAGCAATGCTTCAGTATCACATCACCCATGCTGTATATTTAAGGGATTTTCATTCTTCTTCCTCTTCTTTTACAATAATACATTTAAAAATAGAAAAATGGTCCCAGATGGTCAAAAAAGCCTTCCCAATGACACCCTCAAGCTTCATAACATCCAAATGAGATTACTCACTACACCGTTTTTTAAAAACAACATTAGCAGTCATCATGTTATTTTGCAAAAAGAACATTGTTAAGTTCTCATTAATAATAATCATATGCCATCAAGTCAGTTCTGACTTAAGGTGACCCTTTTCAAGGTTTTCTAGGTAGAGAATACTCAGAAGTGCTTTTTTCCCCCATTCCTTTCTTCTGCAGGCAACCTGTGGCTGTGCAGCTGGCCCAAAGCCACACAGGCTGGGTCTCTCCTCCCTAGAGAGGAACAGTGGGAAATTATACTCCCAACCTCTGGCTCTGCAGCCAAATGCCTAAACCACTGGTCAGCAACCTTGGGCCTCCAGGTGTTCTTGGACTTCAACTCCCAGAAATCCTGGCCATCAGAGGTGGTGCTGAAGGCTTCTGGGAGTTGTAGTCCAAGAACATGTGGAGGCCCAAGGTTGGGGACCACTGACCTAAACCACTGAGCTATCCAGCCAGCACAAGCTCTCATTCCACACACCCCAAAGTAATGTGTTACGTAGAACACAAAGAAAAAAAGACACCTTCTTTTCCAGTTCTGTCTCCTCTCTCTTCAAGAAGGAAAAGAAGTACCACTTTGGCTTGGAGTTGCCACCAGAAGCCATTCTGAAGCCATGCCGCCAATATTGACCAGGATGCTTCATCAATGCACTTCCCTTGTGACACTTCGAAGTGGCAACTCAACCTCCCTTGCTTGCCCTTTTTATGTCCTATGGGTGTGTGTGTGGAATGCTGAATAATTCTCTGAGGAGAAAATGGGAGAGTGGTGTTTGCTGTGGACTGGTGTTGGGCTGTGGCATTGCTAGTATGAACCCCAGAATCAATTTCCCCACATACATCTGGACCTTCAGGGAAAATCTGTTCCCCACCACTGCTTGAAGGGCTGTGGAAATAATGTAGTCGGACCCACTTATCCATAGTATCAGTATTCACTGATTCACTTATCCACAGTCTGAAAAATGGAAGAATATTAAAATAAAAGCCCCCCCAATTAAAATATTAATGATGAAGTTACCAGAACTGACCATTCTAGACAGAGTCATAAACCATGCTATTTCAGTAGAGAAATAGATTTCCATGCTGTCATTACCAGAACTGGCCACTAGATGGAGGCACAGACCATGTTATGTTTCGTGTTTCTTATTAAAATAGCATTCAGCATCTGGAGGGGGTCTTGGAAATGATCCTCCATGGATATGAGGATCCTACTGTGATTGTAATTGGTGTTGTCATTGTTATCTTAGAACTGCATTGCTGGAAGGCAGCAAGCAGGCGGACGGGCTGGCGAGCAAGATATTGGGCAGTCAGATGGGTGAATGAATGAGTGGATGGCCAGCTGATCCAGGATGCAGGGCAGGTGATCCAGGCAGTGAAGCCCCACGCTTCTGTTCCTGTCTCTGACGTCACCATTCTTCTTCCTCCCCACTCCTGTTTCTCCCCTCTTGGCAGTAGGACACAACTTACTCTGACAGAAGGGTTTACATATACCAAACCAACTAAAATAATTTCTGGTTGTGATTTAAAATAAATGACCTTCTGGCGGAGGCGTATATTGCTTCACTTCCTAGCCAAATATCCACTTCCCAGGAAAAAAAAATTCCATGTTTCCATTTATGTCACAGAGACACCTTATTTTACCTTGATCTTTTTTGTTAACCAAAATCAACAGCAGTTCTAATTGGCAGTATAACCATGCCCTGTGTTTCTTACTAATGCCAGATAACTAGTTGTGAGAGTTGGCAAAATACTGCCCTCCAAATGCTGTTGACCAACAGCTCTCGCTATTGGCTTTATTGTCTAAGGCTGCTGGAAGTTTCATCCCAACATCTGGAAAGCCAGACTTTGTCCACAGCTGAACTAGAGGAATACATCGAAATTACAAATGGCCACTGGCATCCATTGGTTCCTATGAAAGGGCCATACGAGTAGACAGGATACTTCCTCAGCACCAACTCGCATGACTGTAAATTCACTGATACAACACGTAAATTTGCAGTATTCTCTTTCCCAAAGGAAGTCAACCAGGTAAAACCGCCATAGAATGTATTAAAAACAGCATGGAAAAAAAAAGGAGTGAGATCTGAAATCTTCATCGACTATTCTGCTGTTAGACAAAGCATCTAATAATTAATAGACAAAATCAGCAACCTAGGTGTGGACATAAAATGTTTGAGACATGTGCCACGTGTAATATACAGATGATAATACTTTTACTCTACTCCACCTGGTAATGAAATATCTTAATTACACTGTGCACGCGAGGTCATTTTGAAACCCTTACAACAGATTTGGAGAGTCATTGTGAAGAAGAATTTTAAACCAATTATAAAAGTGCCAGCCCAGATTCCTGGATAAATAATCAGTAAGTAGGGTTATCCTGCTCCAAGGCGATCTACAATCAACAGTAGGACCGGAAAGAAAACTCATAAGTATTTTTGCAGATCTTTGTTCACCACTGTAAGGAATCTGTGGTCCATCAAAACTTGTTGGACTCCAGTCCAGCTTGTTAGTGGGTGGGGATGATTTGAGTTTATAGTCCAACATCAGGAGGTCTGGGTAGGTAGGTATTAGTAAAAAATGAGAAACTATTTAGACAGATCTGGCTTAGGAAAGGGCAAGACTGGCATGAAGGAACCCCAAGTGATGATGGATAGGTCAGGGGTTTCATACCTGCAGAGATGAAATGAGAACACATTTTGCTTAAGGAGCTTCTGCTTCATCATGTTGTCAAAGGGTGGGGTGATGTTGTTCACGGAGATGGTGGGATAACCTAGCCCCATGATGCCGTCAAACTTCGCAGCCACAAAAACCAATCCGGGCAGATCCGTCGCCTCAGCGAATGTTTGGTTCTGAACAGTCATGTTACCAATCTGAAGAGAGAAAAATTGATATCTCTTACATCCACCAGAAGCCCACATCCTACTAGACGATCTGTCCTCCATGACAACTCCAAACTCTGGGGGCAAACCTTTACCACATTTCCCTTGTAGGCCTCTGTACCTGGGGCTCTGCCACTGAATACTGACACAGTATCACCTCTCTTTCTTCTTTCAAATCAACCCTCTCCTTCCCTGACATCCTCCATTTGTTTTGGACTACAGTCCCCAGCAGCCTCAGTCAGAAAGGCCAGTGGTCAGAGGATAATGGGAGTTGTAGTTCAAAAGCTTTAGAAGCTGGGACTCAACAGGGGCCCACTTCAGTGCTAACAGGATATAGTGGTTTCTCCCTATGATGTGAACGATCCATGGTGAGCTTGGGAGTTGCATATATGTTCCCTCCACCCCTTTTGTGCCCTGGAAGAGGGAACTGAAAACTATTTTTTGTTTAAAAGATCATTACTGAGAACATGCCATGATCATGCTGTGACATCATCCCCTGGCTTGTTCTGAAACATAGTTTAAACTAATCATGCTTCCTCAAATTCAAGCATCACAGGAAACTGTGGTTTGTTTTGATGTTGGGGCAAAAGCTTTTATTGGGCCACTTTCCGATCTGGAATTCTATTCCCAACCCTAAGACAGCTTCCTTCAATTTGGGCCTTTCCTGATGTGTGAGACTACAGATCCCTGCCTAGCCAGCAGGGCTGATCTGTGTTGGCTGGGAATTATGGGACTTTTAGTACAAGCTGTTTGAAGATCACCAGTTTGGGGAACAAAGCCCAAAGCCCTCATCTTTACTTTTGAAACCAAAATTGTGTACATATAAATGCACAAACTCATTTGGGTTCTCTCACTTCCACCATCTCTTTTTCCTTCATTCTTTTGTCTCGTCTGTGTCAAAACATAGTTTGCTAGCTTTGCAGGGCAGAGACCTACATTGGTGCTTATGCAACACAGCAACGTGCCACATCAAGAGACAGATGATGCTGCATGCATAATCGTCATCCTCATGGTGACTTTCAGTATAATTCTAATTAAGGCTCTCTCTCGGCACTTAAAAGGGTTTTTAGCTGATTAATCATGAAGTTTTCAATCCATCAGTTAATCAGATAAGTGTGCATGTTATCAACACTTCAGTCAAGGTGCTTTTTCGAGGAGATTGAAGTGCATGTGACCCAGCTTCTCTTTGGGTCATCTTGATTCCCATCCACACACACACTTTCTCTCGTTCTTACACATCAGGGAGGCAAAAAGTCCAAAAGGAAAACATGAATTCAACAAGTCAAAGTTAAAAACATAAAATAAATTAACCATGTGCAACCTTGTTCTAATGGGAAAGACTGGTTTCTGAGAGCCCTCCATTAAATGCACATGTCTGAAAAACCCTTGCCTTATTTTTAAAATCACCCTCTCAACTGGGTATACTGGCTAGGTGGTTGGTGGTGGAAAGGCTTAATTCCCTTGTCAGTCACTGAGTTCACAAGTCTTGTCTTTCAGCCTAATCTACCACACAGGGCTGTTGTAATGATAAAACAGGGAGCCACAGTGGGGGAAAAAACTATGAACTAGAGTCTTTTAGTATCTTCAAAAGAAGCAGCCATCTCACTCTGTTTCAGCATACAGAACAAAAACAAAACAAAAATATAAAAAACTAAAAACACAAACACTGTGACATCTTAAAGGCTGGCTTATTTATTTCCGAGTGAGCTTTCATGGATTGCAGTCCAATTTCTCAGACACATAGAGCAAATTATGTAGGCAGAAGGTTATGTACAAATCTACATTTTGGGGGTGGAGAATCCAGTGACAGCCACCTCATTAACACAAATAATGAACTCTGAGAGTATAATAGGATCCTTATATCTGTGGGATCTGTATCCACTGTTTCACTTATCCATTGTCTGAAAATATTAAAAATAATTTGTTTAAATATATTCGCGAAGGCGAATCCAGAAAAAAACCCTATTTTCACATGTATTACCAGTACCAACCACTAGATGGAGCAAGAGAATATGCTATGAATAGTTAATGAAGAATATATAGAATAGCATGTTCACTGTTGCCCTCTAGTGGCCACGTCTGGAAATGCTTATGACAATAATTTTTTGTGGATTTTTTTCCTTTTAACATGCTCTCTGTTATACATGGTTTTCAGTATCCACAGGGGCTGAACTCCCAGTGGATATGTGAATCCTATTGTATTGATTACAAGAAATCCTGGTCATTGTGGTGAAGTAATTGCCTGTCAATGAGGGAAGCAAGACTAATCTTTCAAGTGCAAAGGTTTTGAACAAGTGAGCATCTTGTTTATTGAATCAACTTGCGGTTCGGAAGCCAGATCAAGTAACTTGCCTATGCATAAGATTGCACACACACACACACACAAAACCACTCCTTAACTTAAAGTTCTGCTTTTATATACAGTATATATATAGTGAGCAAAGAGTCCTTTGTCTAAATTTAAGCCTTTAGACAGACTCTGGAATTTGTGTATGAAGCTTATTTCAGCTCTAGCTCCCCTCCCTTGCTCTCACCAATTTCCCTTTGTAATTCTTCCCCTCCCCCACAACATTCACTTTCAGATCAGCAACAGAGTGTGAATCCAACTGGATGTGCTTATATCAAAGGGCTTAGCAGTAGACAATAGATGTTGTGGTGTGTACTGGATAGAAGCTGAAGGTATGTAAGTATGTGTAATACTCAGCGTTGCTGTTTTTGCAAAGCACGCCACTTAAGATGTCCATTGTGTAACTACATGGTGGTATCCAGAAATTGTATGTATAATCATTATACATAGTTATACACCTCCAGCTTCCACCCAGAACAGATCATAAAATGCACAGCTTGCATCTCTGATAAAACCACATTGTGCTGGAACCATAAGATTCAAAACTGATGCATTTACAGCAGGCATTTCTTAAATTACAATAGCTATTCCAAGAGGCGAAAAGATGAATTGGAATGGAAATACAGGTACTGTATCCAGAAGCAACCTACTGCAAGACAGACAAAAAAGAGAAAATGAGACCACAGCTTTGGTAGACACCTGCAGCCCCCAACTGAGGCTACTCACATACATCATCAGTAATCTGCAGCCCATTTTGGACAACAATACTGTACCTTCTTTCCCCAAGCTTTGCCTATCCAGCCTGTGCTTGCCCAGAGACAGCCCCCAACCTTAAACATACCGGTATATTGACACACAACAGGAGATCAGGAAAAAAGTCCTTGTACAAACCCAGGTACCAACTGTGTCTCATATCTGCTCTGGCAGCACCATTACAGCAACGTCACCTACAACATCAAAGGATGATGGTTCAACGGTGACTTGTGCCACCTTATGCCAGCAGTGTTCTTTCGCATTCTACATAGGACAAATTGGACAATCTCTGTGCAAAAGAATAAATGGGTACAAATCTAATGTCAGAAATGGCAACACAGAACAGCCACTTTCAGTACATATCAGCCTTCCGGGACACTCTGTTGCTGATCTGAGAGTGATTAATGGAGAAAAAAAGAAGCCTGGAAAAAGAGACAACTGTGGTAAATTTCATGTGCCAAAGCATCATAATCTACAAAACCCCACACAGAAATGAATCAGTTAGACCTTAAGGCGTGACAACATTTTTGTTGTTACTATTTTATTTTCCTCTTGACGCTTCACTATTTATGAGAAAGCCAGTACAGAGTTTGGGAACGTTAATTTTTGGAACTACAAATCTCCCAGATTTGGAACTCTGGCTTGAGGATTTGGGAGCTGTGGTTCTTCTAATCCAAATGGAGACTGCAGCCAAGAAATCAAAAGAAGATTGAGACTCAGAAGAGCATCAATGAAGGAACTAGAAAAGACCATCAAGTGTAAGGATGTCTCACTGGAGGACCAAGACCAAGAGCATCCACACAATTGTATTGCTGATCACCATGTATGGGTGTGAAGGCTCGACAGTAAAGAAAGCTGACAGGAAAAAGATTGATTCATTTGAAATATGGAGCTGGAGGAAAGCTTTGTGGCTACTTTCAGAAAGACAAACAATTGTATCCTATATTCAAATCAAGCCTGACCTATCTCTGGAGTCAAAAATGTTAAAACAGAGGCTGTCCTAGTTTGGGCACATCATAAGAAGACAGGATTCTATGGACAATAATGTTGGGAAATGTAGAAGGCAGCAGGAAAAGAGGAAGACCAAATACGACATGGATTGACCCCCTAATGAAAGACACAGGCTTGAATTTACAAGAGCTGAGCAGGGCTGTTGAAGACAGAATATTTTGGATATCCTTCATTTATAGGTAGCCATACTTGGGGGTGACTTGACAGCACATAACAACAAAGTCTTCTTAAAATAACTTTCACAAGCTCTGATGCTGAAGCAGTTCCATTCTAAAAAGAATTCCTGCTAAATTTTAAATATAAACTGGAGGCAAGTTAAGTTCCTTTTCTATCAAGCTCAAGACAGAGAGAGATTGCCAAAGGCTACACCAAAGCTGTCTTTTCCAAGTTCCCTTCATTCCATTCCATGAATTCCATTCCATTCCTTGCTTTTTGCCAGCCCTACAATAATTCTTTTTTTTTCAAATCTGTGCATAAAGCTCCAATTAATTTATACCCTTCACAGCTAAAAATAGCAACACGCTTGGATATTTTTAACACCATATTCTTACACGAAGATTACTTGGTCCCACCTCACGGTTACACATCCTCAAAACTTGGAAATGTTGACTCTTTTTTTGGATTATAACTCATAGCATTTCCAAGCCATCAGGGCCTTAGTCCATGCTGTCTGGGGATTCTGGGAACTGTAGTCCAGAAAGGTACATTTTCAAGTTCTGCAAAAGCTCACCTTGGTCTGTTTACCTTGCTCTGTTCGATATAGCACCACCAATTCTAGCTCTAGTTTTATTTACTAAGCAATAACATACTATGATCTTTTATTTTGGAGTGGAATGTACAAGTATATTGACCATAAGAGTATTCCTACAGATGGTCATTTCTCTATACAGTTGAAGAGAAGCTAATGCATTTTATTAAGGATGCTTTAGGCCCTAGCCCTAGCCCTAGCCCTAGCCCTAGCCCTAGCCCTAGCCCTAGCCCTAGCCCTTTCTTTCTTTCTTTCTTTCTTTCTTTCTTTCTTTCTTTCTTTCTTTCT